ATGAACAAAAATTTTTACAGCAGCTCTTTTTATGGTAGCAAAGAACTGGAAATTCAGGGGATTCCCATCAATTAAGGAATGACTAAACAAGTTTTTGGTATATAAATGTAATGGAATGCTATTGTTCCATAAGAAATGGTGAGCAGAATTCTTTCAGAAAAACCTGAAGACTTATATGAACTGATGCAAAGTGAAATGAGCAAAACCATATTGTACAATGATCTACTGTAAATTATTTAGTTGTTCTCAGCAATACAATGATTTAAGACAATTCCAAAGGACTTCTGATGAAAAATGCTATCCACTTCCAAAAAAGAACTGATGGAGTCTGAATGCAAATCAAAACATACTGTTTTTTAACTTTATTTTTCTTGGGTTTTTTTTGGGGGGGGGATGCAGTCTGTATTTTCTTTCACAACATGACTAATACAGAAATGTGTTTTGCATGATTACACATGTATAACCTATATCAAATTGCTTGTTTTCTAAATGGGAGAAGGAAGGGAATTTGGAACTCAACATTTTTTAAAATGAGTGTGAAAATTGTTACATATAATTAGAAAAAATAAAAATATTAAAGCAAAATTTTAAAAAGGAATGAACAAGCATTTATTAAGTATTACATGCAAAGTACTATGCTAAGCTCTGGGGATACTATTCTCAAGGAATTCCGATACTAATAAGGAAAGAAAACACATATAAGAAATTTCAGCTGAAATAAAAGAGACTATTTTAATTTTGTCTGTTACATTGGCACTTAGCACATAAGAGACATAGACCCTTAATAAATGTTTGTCAGATTGAATTGAATTCTACATTTCTACCTCTCTTACTCCTTACAGTAGGTCTCACAGGAAACCATAGCCCTTAAGCTGACCAGCAGCCAAGATTTTACCCTTTGTAGCCAAATCTTTTACTAACCGCAATGCTCTCCACCCATCTCCTTCAATACTGCACACCAATCTAACAAACCTCCACTTTCCCTCTTTCTACACAAAAAATGAGAGAGTGCTTCTGTAGGAAAGATCCAATGTAAACCTCATGCTTTACAAATTAATGCTGTCCAACATCAACTAGGCGTTTGCTGGTACTGAGCAGTACTTTCATTAATCACGCTATAAAGGGTGAAACTCACAGAAATTTAAATCTTCCCTTCTTTCTCCTTTTAGACCCTCAACTCAAAGGGCCTTACTGGCAATTTGTATAAGATTTAATCTCATGATAACTAAGGTCAGTTGTTATAGCAGCGCCCTGATATATAATTACCTACAGCCCCCACATATGCATCTTTACATTCTTCCTTTCAGAGAAACAGAACCTCTTCTTTTCTAAAACTAAACCTTCAACCTGAACTCTATATCCCATTATATCACTCTCAAAAATTCACTGAAATCTTCCTCCTCTTCTATCTTCAAATATACAACAAAATATTTAAAGTAGCATCTTTGGGGACAGGAAAAATTGGAAACAAAGTAAATGACCATCAACTACAAAATAATTAAATTGTGGCACATGAATGTAATAACTATTACAATACTGTAAGAAATGATGGTTGTGATGAAAACAGAAAAGCATGGAAAGAGATACTTAAATTGATGCAGAGTAAAGTGAGCAGAACTAAGAAAACAATATAAACAATGACTACCACAATGTAAATTTGAAAAAAAAACACATACATATATCAAAAGGGAATGCTGAAAAATTGTAAAGAACAAGCATGGTTCAAAGGAAGAGATACAGAAAGACACTTTCAACCCACTCCTATGGAGATGTAGAAGAACCACAAATGTTGTACATAGTATATACGTTCAGACTTTAACACGGGTTACACTAACTTTTTTTCCTCTTTCTCTTCTGTTATCTTAAGAAAAACATTATTTGGAGGCAGTGAGGTGGCATAGTGGGTAGAGCACCAGCCCTGAAGTCAGGAAGACTTGAGTTCAAATCTGGCCTCAGAAACTTGACACTGACTAGCTGTGTGAACCTGGCAAGTCACTTAACCCCAACTGTCTCACCAAAAAAAGAAAGATAGAAAGAAAGAAAAATACTACTTGTTATATCGAGATGGCTCTCTGAGAGGGAGAGGAAGACTGGGAGAAACTCTGGCAATATAAACAACAAAAGACATCAATAAAAAACACATTTTTATAAATAGGACAGTTCTGGGTGGCAGTCCTGGGGCAAAGAGGAACACTGTGGCATGGCGGAACTTGTAGCAGCTGTGAAGAGGAAAATCCTCCTCACAGTTCCAAGACAGAAAAGAGTGCTTGTGGTCACTCACAGACCAGAGCACAGGCAGGAAAAGGAGTAAACACCTCACCTTTGATCATATTGCCTTGGAAGAACTGAAAATTTACAGGTCCCTAGAAGTACCTCTGAAAACAGCTTGCAAAAAAACCCCAAAACTTGGGATAGTACATTCTCCACAATGGAAGCAGACCCCTGCCTTAACAAAGAGTATGAAAATCAAATAATTGGCTGGGATCATGAGCAAGCAGCGCCAAAAAAGTCAGACCATAGAATCTTACTCTGGTGACAAAGAAGATCTAAACATACAACCAGAAGAAGACAAAAAAGTCAAAGTTCCTATATCCAAAGCCTCCAAGAAAAATATGAATTAGTCCCAGGCCATGGAAGAGCTCAAAAAGGATTCTGAGAAGCAAGGAAGGGAAATCAGAGTGATATAAGAAAATCATGAAAAACAAGTCAATAGCTTGCTAAAGGAGACCCAAAAAAATACTGAAAAAAATAACACCTTAAAAAATGGACTAACCCAAATGGCAAAAGAGATCCAAAAAGCTAATGAAAAGAATGCCTTAAAAAGCAGAATTAGCCAAATAGAAAAGGAAGTCCAAAAGCCCACTGAAGAAAATACTTCCTTAAAAATTAGAATGGAGCAAATGGAAGCTAATGACTTTATGAGAAATCAAGACATTATAAAACAAAACCAAAAGAATGAATGGGAAAGAATAAAGGCAAAAGGAGACGGTAGAGGATGAGATGGATAGAGAATCTTATGGAAACAATGATCATGAACTTGAACAGATTTAAGACTTTAAGAGATAGCGGAGGATAGAAAGGCCTGGCATGCTATAGTCCATAGAGTCACAAAGAGTCAGACACAACTGAAGAATAGCAACAACTGATAAATCAGTATCATTATTTTCATATAAAAAAGGAAAAACAAATTTGTTCTTATATGATACATTCAATTTTTCACTATAAATAGTGAAAGATAATCAGAACTATTTTCATTGTTCCCAATGAAATGTAAGACAATCCCAAGAAAAGAGTTTGTGCTTCATGAAAGTACTATGATATTTTTTGTAACAGGATATATCTTCTGAGAATGGCAAGCAACATTCTGACATATTGTTAATGCATTCCTTAAACTGTCAGTGGGCATGCTTGAGGCTAAGTAAAAGAGGAAACAAGTTTAAGAAAACACACTACTTTGCCTCATACTTGCGAACTGTCTTTTTTTGACTAACAAATATTTAGACAACCTAAAATGCTGACAAAACAGTTTTCTACAAGACTGCCATGACCATTCACTATGATAATTCTAGAAGTAAAACAAACTAAAAGTGAAGGCTTTTATTATCAACTGGGACAGCTGAAATTAAATTTTATCTGTGCTCAACTTTGTCTGCTACTTCAACCATGTAAGATATTTTATTCAAGAAAAAAATTCCTTTAGGTAGGTAAGAAAAAGTCACCCAGAATTTCCCTCTCAAAAAAATTATAACAAGATTGAGATTTTTTTTAAAAATGCCATTGTAGGACAATGTTCTCTAAGGTTCTCTTCTGTAACACAATTTATCTCATAAACATAAAGAAATCTCCATAAATGCTCCAAAGTTACCTAAAAACTACTACACATCAATTCACCGAACTTAAGTTCACATGCACCTATTGGGATTTGAACCACAATTTCAAAAAAGTAAAGACTAACATATTAACTGTGCTCTGCAAATAAAACAGGAGGCACTTAATAAATGTCTACTGAACTGGACTCAATGCATATCTTATGTTGAAAAGCCTATCCTGATGAGCATTCTCTCCTTGAAGACACTCAGAATGAAGCACTATCTGTTACTCAATTTTTCTTCCTAGATGTGATTTAACCTCTCTTACTTATAGGTCCCTCATCTGTAAAATGAGGATAATAGTCTTATATTACTTATCTCATAAGCATTCTATAAATATGTTACTGCAGGTTATTACAGGGCTTATACTATGATCAAAAAATCTACCCATTTGGGCTGTGTCAGATTATGAAGACAATACAAAGCAGCCAAAAAGTTATTAATCTGTGCATACTCTTTGACCCAGCAATTCTGCTACTGGGTCTGTACATACAAAGAGATCAAAGAATGAGCAAAATGACCCATATATACAAAAATATTTATAGTAATTTTTTCCATGCATCAAAGAATCAGAAATTAAATAGGTGTTCATCAATATGGAATGGATGAACAAGTTATAGTATATGAAGTGATGGAATAATACTGTGCTATAAGATATGATAAAGGGAATGTTTTCAGAAGAATCAGGGAAGACTTGTCTGAACTGATGCAGAATGAAGTGGGCAGAACCAAGAGAAAAATGTAAGACAGTATCAATAATATTGGAAAGACAAGAAACTCAACACAATGACCAATCAAAATTCTAGATGAAACATTACCCACATCCTGATAGAGAGACGATGGACTTAAAAATGCAGAATGAACTATATTTTTGTGGCCACGTTCATTGCAAGAATTTTCTTTGATTACTATACCTGTTTGTAACAGGAGTTTTGTTTCCCTGCTTTTGCAACTGGGGGAGGGGGAAGGAGGGAACAGGGAAAAGGCTCATCATGAATATAAAATAAAATTTAATTTTTACAAAAAGGTACACCAGGTAACTGAACCCAAATACTACAGGGTAGAGAATTAATTATATTACAAAAATGATTTTAAAAGGGAAAACGATTTCACTTTCGTTTCTTCACATACCTGAAGCAGTCCAATACCGAACCTACAACATCATCTGCTAATTCTTTTGGTAATCTTCCAGTCATTCTACCAATTCTGTAAGAGGAAAAAAAAAACCCACAAACATATACATATAAACAAAAACAATTCATCTGTATCATCTTTATACTTCTTACCTAGTAAGTATTAATGTCCTACTGGTACATTGAAAGGGAAAAAAAAAGGCAAAATAATTCAACCCTGTACAATTATAATCTACGATTTCCTTTGCAAGGCTCATTGTGAAATACCATTAACCAAAAATCTGTCCGTACCCCTATAGTATGTTTGTGGGGTTTTTTGCCCAATCTCAAAAGCATACTCCATGGCATTCTAAAATCTATACATGCAAAAGAAGCAAATTACAGTATCTTCAATAGGTTTATTCCAAATCAGATATTCACCTCAATATACATAGATGAAGCCAAAGAACCTATGAGGCACCATCTTTACATTTTTACTCTGCCTCCTGTAGTTTTCTTTTAATAACAAATCAATGACGCTTACTTGTTTCAGGGCTGAAAATTTAAATGTCATCATTAGAGTTCAACAGCCAGTTGAGTGCTAATGACAAACTCTTCCACTGTATGACTTTGGTCAAATCACTTAATCTCCCTGGGCCTAAGTGTCCTCATCTGTAAAAAGGGTTCAGACTAAATCGAATCTTTTTTTTTTTATGGTGTCAATTTTAAACAGATTTTGTTCCCCATGACAAGAATTGCATTTCCACTTGTTTACAATACTGAAAAAGCTCAATGTTTTTTACTTCTCTCCCTTTGTATATTAGAATGTCCAGATTTACATAATAGCTTAAATGCTACTATTAAACTGCTACTGCTTTGGCTACAAATTTGAGTCCTTCAGCTTTTGTAAAGCTGTGCTGAATGCTCCATTCTGGGTGCATTTAATTAACCTCTTCAATAGTAGATCCAGAAGAAGCACCTCCAAATGCAGCTGCTCCACCACCTGGGAATGCACTAGGCAGCAGATCCCCAGCATTCTGACATAGTTTAGTAATGACCTCCATTCCTTTCTGCAGCTGCTCAAATTCTTCCTTCCAAACAATTTGGTTTTTATCCAGTAAGTTGATTTTTTTTTGTTACATTTGTCAAGGACCTTCTGTTTGTCTTCATCACAAATTCTGCCCTACAGTTTCTCATCTTCTACTGTACCTTTCATTCTGAAAGTGTAAGATTCAAGTAAGTTCTTGAAAGATACCTTGTGTCTTTGTTTCTTACCTTCAGCCACGTATTCCTCAACTTCCTGGATTCAATGTCTTCATTGATCAAGCAACTTTTGTGATTGATGACTATGATCTTATTCTCCTTGCCTATTCATTTATCCATAATAAATACACTAAGGATGCCATCTGCAACAACTTCAAATGTTACTTCAATAAAAGGAACAACCTGGAGGCAGGGGTAATTTCTGTGAACTCAAACTAGCTAAGGAGGTTGTTATCCTTTGTCATTGCTCTCTAACTTGGCAGACTTTGGGTTTTTTTGGTTTTTTTTCTTTTTGTTTGTTTTGGTGAGGCAATTGGGGTTAAGTGACTTGGCCAGGGTCACACAGCTAGTAAGTGTTATGTGTCTGAGGCCGGATTTGAACTCAGGTCCTCCAGACTTCAGGGCCAGTGCTCTATCCACTGTGCCACCTAGATGCCCCTGCTCTCTAACTTGGAACAAGCTAAGAAGGCGGTTGTCTGAAAATGTGGGAAAAGTCAGTCTGCTTAGTAGGGATGTTGGTACTCCATTTAATCAGAACTGTCATAACTCCACTGACAGTTTCAATAATAAGGCAAAGAAGAGTGACATCAAGTACAGCAAATCCTAAACTTTCTCAGATTTATCCCCAGACAAGACGGCAGCCTGGACAGCAATACCATAAATAACAGCCTTATCAAGACTGTTTTAGCTCCTTGAGGAACAGAAGTTTCTGAATCTTGGGGATGTGAGTGGAACCACCCATGAATCTGTGACTAATCTAGTTTGATATTAGAATTCATGGTCTTTGACAGCTGAAGAGGTTAGATTCAGCTCTTCAACACAAACACAGGTGACACAGTATACCTTCATAGAGGGAGTCAATCTCAATACTACCCTGGAAATTGGAAAAGAGTACGCTTTGCATATTCACAAGCAATGTGCAGACAGCGCACAAACCTCTTGTTATCTCTGATTTCCTTCTTGTGCTTTCCACTTGAACTCAGCAATGAAATGACTATGTAGTTGTCACCCAACTAGGTGTTCCCTGCTGTGGACTTGACTTCAAAAATGTCATCTTCAATGGCAAATAATGGAGACATCAAAAATGCCATTTTTAATGTCAAAGATCAATACATTTCTCTTGGCACCAACCTTGCTGTCTAAACCATAAGCAATAGCAAAAGCAGTTTTCTCTTGAAAAATTGAAGCACAGAGACACCATGGATGGTTTCGGTATCTTTGGGGGCCTGATACTGAGAATTATTGAAGTACGCTAGTACTATGACTACAGCATTTGTAACAGTTTTCTCAAGGTAACCTTTGTCAATTTCATCCATCTTGGTCAAGACAACAGAAGATACTTCTTCTGAACAGAAGCTTTTGGTCTCCCCTTTTTACTCCACTTAGACCTAAGGCCTGCCTTTATCCTTTAGTACCATGAAAAGTCAATGTTTCACGTATGACTGTACAACTGCATCATCAAATCAATCAAAGACTGTGCTGATGAGGTTTATTACAACTTGATTCTTTGAAGTATCACCAATTAAACATTCTATGTGCGTGAAGGTAGCATAACTTAGGGTGGTCCTCCTGATCAAGAAGGAGAAACAAGAGCTGCTGCTATACTAAGACTCTAGATCAATTCCTAAGATCCCTTCCAACTCTGGATCTATGATACTATAGTACTACAGCTATGAAAGAGGAAAGCAGGGACAGGTATACTTCCATTAGCACAATTCAATACTCTATCTAATTGCAACATGCACTTACATTCAACTGGGCATGTAACTATTAGAATACCACAGCAACTGAGGAGAAGAGGCCTGTCCAACATTTTTTAGAAGCTGAATGTTGATATGAAATGGTTTGAAGGCTCCCTAAGAAAACTGTCTTTCCCACTGACCTGTCCTTAATATGTTGTCACCTACAATTACAGTTTTGTTATTTAGGATTAAAGCACTGTCCCACTTTAAAATGCTAATATTATATATCCATTCTTCTCCCAGGAAACAGTAATTAACTTTTGGTTTGAAGTTGATCATCTGATCCTTTTCACCATGACAGCTAGCTTAGAGCTAGTTTTGACTACAAAATAGTGAAAGGATGTATGTTCAAACCAGAGACTACTGCTCAAAAATATAAGGCCTGAGTGAGATACCATCAGGCACCACCAGTTAGCAGGTAAACTTAAAGCACTAGGAACCCCAAGTGAAGCAAGATGCATGCCATAAGGGAAGAGAAGAATACTATAAGGAGAGCTGAGAAGGTACTTGAAAAAACTTCTTATACAATTCTTCCAGTTCTGGCTAGACACAGAGGTGATGATGCTGAAGTTTCAATATTAGAAACTACCTTTAAAAAAACATTTAATAAAAAAAATTTTTTTTAAAAATAAAAAAATTTAACTGTAACTAGGTAAACAATTCTCTTTGTCCTTAAAAAACCTAATTACTGAAGCTATCAAATATTAGTTGAAATAGTAAAATAGTTGAATTTACCATCTAGTAAACATAAAAATTCACAAAAAAAACTTTTCTATTTTTTGGAGGTCTATGAAAATTACACCAAGATTCATCTATTTATTTTCAGGTAAATGACAGGAAACATACCCTTTTGCTGCAGACCATCGGACAATTGTATCTTTGTCTTTCAATCCAACCAGCAGCTGCTCTATAAAGAATACAAGATAAGAATTATTCACTTCTGTTCCACAAAACAAAGAAAATCATATTTTGATTTTCTTCCTTAAAAATGAGAATATTCGAAAATATTCTACATTATTTTACAGCTATTTTTAACAATATCTTTAAAGAATCTGCATTTTATTTGTAAGAATAGGAACCATCTATTTATGAGTTTAACAAAAGCAGTGTTTCTCAATCCATGCTGCAAGAAACCCAGAAGCATCCCAAATTTGTTTGGTTTTTAAATGAATTTTATGTTATTTGTTAATAGACATGAAAATAATAATTTATAAGGGATTTAACAAGGGCTCTGCCCAAGTTTTATTTAAATTGAAGTGTTTAACCATTATGGAAATAATTGAGAATCACTCTTCTAGAGTAATCAGCTAAAACTCATGTTCCTACTTAAACAAAATCCAAAATCCATCCCAAATGCAATAAGGTGCACCATGAATAAAATTGCATTTTTAAATCTTCTTTGTAACATAATAGAAATAACAAGAACAAACAACTCAAGCTGGTTTGCTTAGATAAGGGAACCCAGCAGCTTCATGCATTTTAATTTCTATGGGAGGTGGAAGTAATGAGAAAAGGAGAACAGGTATTCTGTGTCATATCACTTTGCTTACAGTATCCTTTTCTGTGCCTCAGCAGGACATATATTCCCTTCTGGTCTTACATAGTTTACTTTCAAAACAGAACTTCAATTTTATTTTTATTTAACTAAGTTCTTTTCTGTAATCACAATCATGATAAATGAAAAAATCAAAATAAATATTTACCATAAAAATATATTTAAAAGTAACAGATATTTTTGACAATATAACTAGCTTTTGATCCATATTTGGGTTTAATGATGACTAATGGTAAGGCAAAAAACTTAACTTATAATGTGATCGCATAATCATGAAGATATTTTAAAAATCTAGGCTAAAAATGATAGACTTTCATGTACAATTAATTTTTCCCTTTTTATTCATTTGATTTATAATATTTATCTAAAGATGATAAATATAATTAAAAAATTAACACTAAAAATTTAGCATTCCATAGGCAGCAAAAAGATTATCTATTTTGGTAACCATTGACTAAAAGGTACATGTGATAAATGTAATATGAAATTACGTTCTATGAAATAAAATATATAACCAAATGAACTGGGAAAAAAAAACCTACCCCTCTGTAAGAGAGAACTCTAACAAGAAACCAAAGCACATTCTGCTTTCATGTGAAGGACAACACTGTGCCAACTGCTAAATGGCTACCTATAATTTTAAAATAACTTTTAAGCTGTGTTATTTTCTCTATCATTAGTATATACATACCATATATGACTTATATACATATAAATGTATATGCATATATATACACATACTACATACAACAAATACATATGATATTGTTTTTCTCAAATTCATACAAATTTTTTACAGAGTTCTTAGGTACTTTTAAACTTTAGAACTTAGACTGTGAGTAAAGTAGAAACAATCTAAAAACAACAAAGAAGCAGATTTATTATTTAAAGTTTCTGATATAATTATTATAAATACTATAAATAGAGCACTAAGTCAAAGAATAAATAACATCCAATGAAAAACCCTTTTTAATTCAGGTTCACTAAGTAAAAATTTTTTATATTCTGCTTCATTAGTTTTAATATAACATATAACAGTTTCCTATTTCAGTCACCTTTTTTTTTTTCCAATAGCAAGATACAGTAAAACAATGATATTTTTCTAGAACTTAAGAAAATGACAGTTGTTGGATTCATGGAAAAGCTCAAGTTTGCTATTAACCATACTAAATGACAGATTCTAGTAGAAATCAACACCAAAACAAACATTTATTAAGTACCTACTATGGAACAGACACCATACTAGGGAGTGAAGGTATAAATGCAGAAGTCAGACACCTCTGCCCTTAAGGATCTTAAATTCCACTTGAGAGAATACTTTATATTCACAGACAATACGCAGGTAGGAATTGTTTCCTTTTTTGTACTTATATTTTTAATATCTAACCATATTATGGTATTGACAACACAGTAGGAGCTCAATAAATATTTATCGATTAATAATGTGAGACATATAAGAAACAAATACAAAGTAAGGCCGGGTGGAAGGGGTTGTGGAAATATTAACTAGCAAAATAAGAAAAGGTTCCTTAAAATAGGCAGCACCTGAGGTGTACCATACAAGTTGTTAGAGGTTTCCAAAAGGCAAAAGTAAGGAAGAAAAGAGTAAAAGACATGGAGGAACCTCTGCAAAAGCAAAGAAGCTGGAGGAAATAGTAAGCATTCCAAGTTAGCTAAAACCTTTTGTGAGCTTTAGCAGAGCTTTGGTAAGTAAGATATTAGTAGCTAGGGAAATCAGAAAAAGGCTCATGTGGGGCATGTTGAGTTTGAGATGCCTACAGATATTCAGTTATAAATGTCTAGTAGGAAAGTGATTAATGTGGGACTGGAGCTCCAGACAGACCATGGTTAGAGAAACAGACGTTAAGTGTCAACTGCACAGAGATTATAACTAAGCCTATGAGAAATGATGAGATAATTAAGAGTGTATATAGACATAGAAGAGACAGACCAGGACACAGCTGTGGGGCATACCAACATACAGGAGGATAAGGATGATGACCCTGCAGGAGACAATGAGGAGTGGTCAGACAGGTAGAAGAAAAACTAGGAAAGATGCGTCAGAATAGAGTATATCCAGGAGGAGGGTGTACACAATAGTATCACATAGATGAGGATTAAGGAAGATATTAGATGATAGTTCGAGGGTCAAATGAAATTTAAGGAGAGGGAAAGCAGGTTTAGAGACAGCAAAAGGAAGAGACCAGAAAATAGGAAGAAAATGAAAATGAGAGAAAACAGGAGGATGACTATAGAGGCAAGAGATGAGATCAAGGGTACAGGAGGAGAACTCTGAAGACGACATCAGAGACTGGAGAAAAGAAGAAAACTATGGGAAACAATGAGGTATAAAATTGAGGTCAAGCTAGAGCTTACGAGTAGTCTATTTTTAAATTTATTACAACATGGCAATATTTCATTACATTCATGTGTCACAAACCATTTAAGCGGTCTCTATTTTCTCAGTATAACATGAGACAAGATCAACTGTTACAGCAACAGGACTAGCCAAAGCCTTCCCACCATAAGTGTGGCACTAAATCTGTAGACTGGAATAATGAGCATACAAAAAAAGAATCCAACAATAATGAACTATGGTGGCAGAATCATTCAAGACAAAAACACAGAAGAAAAGAATAACTCAGAGAAAAAAACCAACTAAGCATTAACTCAACTAGAATTCCTGAAAGAAATGAAGCAAGAGTTAAAAAAAAGTTTAAAATGTTTGTATAAATGAAATGAAAGCACTTGAGGAAAAAAATGAAAAAGAAATAAGAGTTTTGGAAGAACTGAAGAAATAATCAGTAACTTGGCACAAGAGGTACAAAATCTTGACCAAGCAATAAACTCCCTGAAAATTAGAATGGACCAAATAGAAACCAATGATTTCATGAAGTACTTTAAGCAAAGTCAAAAAGCTGGAAAAAAAAATAGAAGAAAATGTAAAGTATCGCATGGGGGGAAAAACTGACCTGAAAAATATATCAAGGAGAGATATTTTAAAAATCAATGAACTATCTGAATACTATGACCAAAAAAAGAGTCTAGACATCGTATTCCAAGAAATCTTAAAGGTAAATGGCCCAGATCTCTTAGAACTAGGGGGCAAAGTAGAAATAGAAAGAAAAAATCTCCTAAAAGAAATATCTCCTGAAAGAAACACCAAAATGAAAACTCCCAGGAACATCACAGCCAAAATCAAGAATTTCCAGGTCAAAGAAAAAGATACTACAAGCAAGTCATAAAGTAAAAATTCAAGTACCCAAAAGCAAGAGTCAGAATCACACATGATTTAGCAGACATCACTATAAAAAGGTATTGAACTTGGAATATGATATTCCAGAAGTCAAAGGATTTGAGCTAACAGCAAAGAATAACTTATCCTGAAAAACTGAGAACAAAGCAAGAGAAAAAAAAAATAAAACTTTAACGAAATAGAGAATTCCCAAACACTCCTGAAGAGTTACAAAGAAATTCTGACATTCAAATAAAGGAATGAAGAGAAACATAAAAAAGTAAACATAAATGAACAATGATAAAGGACTAAACAAGGATAAAATGTTTAATTCAAATATGGGAGATCATACATGTGTCCTCTCTCAACCCTATAGTCATCAGGCCACATGGAGAAAGTACAATTAGATGAGGCCTGGTTGTCATGGCTGTCATGTCGTGATGACCTTAAGAATGGAAAAAGAGTGGAAGAGGAATAAATCGGGGGTGGGAAAGACAGGGAAAATTATCTCACATACTCAGGATACAAGAGAAGACATCTATATAAATAAGGAGGAAGGAGTGGAAGAGACTTAGACTGACACAAAACTGACACTTTGAACCTCACTCTCATCTGAACCGGTCAAAAGGAAGAATACACACAAACCCAAACACACACAAATACTAAAATACATTTCGTTCAAGAGGGAAAGAAAAAATAGGGAGAAGGGAGAGGAAGAACTGGAAAATCAATTAAGGGAAGGATTAGTCCTGAGCAAACAAGGATGTATAAAAAACACTTATTGCTATTTTGAGGTGGCAAAGAATGGGAATTTGAGGGGCACCCATAAATTATGGAATGGATGATGAAGTTACGGTGTGTTTGTGAGTGTATTGTTGCTTATAAAATGTGTGTGTGCGTGTGTATACATACATATATATATATGTATGTATACACACGCACACACACACACACACTCACACACGCATGCGTTTTATAAGCAAGTGGGTAAAACAGTGCACAGAACACTGGACCTGGTGTCAGAAGACCCAAGTGGTATAAATCTGCTCTCAGACACTTACTAGGTATATGACCCTAGACAAGCCACTTAGCCTCTGTTTGCCTAACTTTCTACAACTACAAAATGGGGATAGTAATAGCACCTACCTCAAAGGGTTGTTGTGAGGATTAAGTGGGACAATTTTTGTAAAGTGGTAGCACAGAATAGGTTTTATATAAATTTTCATTTCCTTCTCCCCTATTGTGTTGAACGTAATGGCTAACCAGAATTAAAGACAACTAATGATGAAACATGTTACCCACTACCTAACACAGAAGTGAAAGACTCAGAAAGGAGAATGAGACACGTTTTTTGAACATGGCCAATATGGAAAACAGTTTGACTATTCACAGTTGGAATGGGTCTTTTTTTCCTTGTATTCTCAGTTCAGAGGAAGGGGATCTTGGCTATTTAAAACAGATGAAATTATTTTTGGGGGGGGGAGGAATAAGTGTTGTATGTTGTCAAAAGCTTTTGACACATCTTCTGAGAGAAGCGTGATTTTTGTTGTTTTCATTATTAATGTGGCCAATTGTGTTTGTAATTTCCCTAATACTGCATAACTCTGCACTCCTGATACAAATCCAGTCCGGTTATACTATGGGATCTTTAGGATGTATTACTGTAATCTCCCTATTAATATTTCATTTAAAATGTTTACATCAATATTCATTAGGGAAATTAGTCTATACTTTTCTTTCTCTATTTTGACTCCCTGGTTTAGATATTAAGACCATACTGTCATTGAAGGAATTTGGTAGGAATCCTTCTTTTACTATTTTCTTTCCAAAAACTGAAGTATTAGAATTAACTTTCTTTAAATTTTTGGTAAAACGTGCTTATAAATCCATTTGGTTTTTAATTTTCAAATGAAAATGAGGTTCAAGTGTGGCCTGTAAACCACTCTCCTCATGCCTTTCTCTTTGCTGAATAAACTTTTATTTCTGTATCCCATTTATGAGATAATTTTCCCCATTCCACCACTTCCTCTTATCAGAGTGTATAACTATAACTCCTTCCTATCCTTTCCATTCATCTTTTAATATCATCAAAACATAATAGAACCATTCCCAGGCCCTGTATCTAGTTAAATTCCCTTTATAAGTGCTATTGATAATAAAGTTTTGAGGGACTACATGTATTAGCTCTCCACATAATAATGTAAACAGTCTAACCTTGCATAGCTTATGCCCACTTGCTCATGTTTACCTTTTTATACTTCTCGTAACTCCTGTTTGTTGCTGTTGTTGTTGTTAAGTCATTTTTTCCTATTGTGTCCAACTCTCTGTGACCCTATTTGGTGTTTTCTTGGCAAAGATACTGGAATGGTTTGCCATTTCCTTCTCCAGCTTATTTTACAGATAAGGAACTAAGGAAAACATGATTAAGTGACTTCCCCAGGAGCACGTAGCTAGTAAGTATCTGAGGAAATCTTCCTGACTCCAGGCCCAGCACTCAATCCACTGTGCCACCTAGCTGCCCTTGACTGATGCATTTGTATGGCAGATTTTCTACTCAGCTCAGGTCTTTTCATCAGTAATGCTTGGAAGTCCTCTATTTCATTAAAGATCCATTTTTCCCACTGCAGCATTATATTCAGTTTAATTGAGTACGTTATTCTTGGTTGTAGGCCTAATCTTTTGCCTTCTAGAATGTCCAATAATATTCCAAGTTCTTCACCCCTTTATTGTGCTGGCTAACTTCTGTGTGATTCTCACTATCACTTCTTATTACAGAATTTTTTCAAGCTGCTTATGGAATTTTTTTTCCTTGTCCTATCAGCTCTGGGTTTTGGCCACAATATTCCTTGGAGGTTTCATTTTCAGGTTTCTTTCAGGTGCTCACCAGTAAATTCTTTGAGTTTCTACACTGTCCTCTGGTTCTAAGAGATCAGGACAGTTTAAAGAATCCTTGCAATCTGATGTCTTGGATCTTTTTTTGCCTCATAGCTTTCAGCCAGTCCTATGATTCTTATCAGTCCTGGATGCTTTCTTCAGATAAGTTATTTTTGTTATAAAATTCCACATTTTCTTCTCTTTTTTTTTTAAGTCTTTTGACTTTGTTTTAATACATCATATTGGCTCTTGCGATTAATAGTTTCTATTTGGTCTATTTTAATTTTCAGGGAGTTATTTTCTTGGGTAAGGTTTTGTACCTCTAGTTCCAGGGTTTTAATTGTCTTTTCATATCTTTCCTCCAAAGTTCGCATTTCATTTTCCATACTTTACCACTCTTGTTTTTTAAAAAATAATAATTTTTAGCTAAAAAAAAAAAAACTCTTTACTTTTGGACTTCAGTTCAAAATAAATTTTTCTTTGAGGCTTTGCTTGTAAATGTTAAGTCATTTTCTTCTTCTGGGTTTCCATCTTGAGTTTGCTTGTCTCCATAATATGTCTTTATAACTTGAATCTATTTTTTTTTCATTTATTATTCCAGCCCACAGCTTGACTTTAGACTTCATATTAGTGCTGATTTCTGCACACTTCTATGGGTAATGTTTAGCCTGAACTTCTGTCTTCTTACAAAACGAGTGTCTGTCTGCTTTCAGTACTCCTAAAGTAATGTAATCAAGGTGAAATCTGCTCCCTGCCCTCCTGGTCTGAGCTCTGCAGGCTCCTGACCTAGGTTTCTGTCTGTTAGTTTGTCCCTGGTTGAGAGTTTCAGTAGACTGCTGCTAGACTGATCTTCTGTTACCCTGCTAGGAGGCTTTCCAGATTCAGTGACTAAATCACAGATTCCTCTTTAGTTTGGGACTTCTGTCCTGGTTGTTACAATGAAGCATTCACCCTAAGCTAGAGGAAAGAACTGAGTGCTCACTTTGTTCCTGAGATCAGAGCCATACAGTTACTGTTTGCTTCAGAACTTGCTCTTTTTCAGCACAAAGCTAGAACCTGCAAGAGATCACTTCTGTCCACCAGCAAATATTTGCAGATCTACCCCGACCAGTTCTCCCAAGAACCTAACTGAATGAAATACCCAGACCATACTAGTTCCTGCATGCTATTTGTGTATGTAGTTCAGGAATCCATTGGGATCTCTTCTTGCCCAAGTTCTTCGTGCCCTGGTGGCCAGTCTCAGCTCTCTTTCAGTCCCCTACAACTATAACATTTCATATACAGTGTGCCTCAGGCAGAAACTCCCCCCCCCGCCAATAACTGCAGACCTGTCTGTGTCCCTAAGTCTGGATGGAAAAATGATTCACAGTTATTTTTTTTCAATGCATTTTATAGATCTTGGAGGATACGGTTTGGTAGGGGAAATCTAGGCTATACTTCTTCCTCCTACTCTGCCATCTTCCCAGAAGTTGGACAAAAGAAATAAAGTAACTAAAGGCTACTGAATTCTTGTAACTACAGGCACCCAAACTCTTTAACAATAGCAACTACTATGAGCCTCAAAATCATCTCAAGATTATAATATGTTGAGTTGGAAATAACCTCATAGATCATCTAGTCCAATCTTTCATTTACAAAGAAAGAAGCTGAGGACCAGAAAGATGGAATGACATGTTTGAGGTTATACTAGCACTAAATAACACAGGGAAAATGCAAACATAGGTCTTCTGACTCCAAAGTCAGGCTTCTTAACAATACCCTATGCTGTCTTCAGTTATCTGACCACAATTCACCAAGGTACTTCCATCGGTTCTACCTTCTCTGCAAGAAGCCTTTCCCATTTCTCCTTAATGTTGTCCCTCTGAGATTATATCCAACTTATCCTGAAAATATCTTGTATGTACCCAGCTATCTGCACATTGCTTCCCCTGTTAGACTGTGAATTTGAGAGTAAGAACTGGTTTTTGCCTTTCATTGTATCTCCAGTGCTTATCAGAGTGCCTGGCATATAACAGGTACTTAATAAATGTTGACTTGTATTCCAGTTAGGCCAGCGTTCCCACTGAACCACATCTACACCATGTTTATATTTACCTTCAAATGTAACATTGCTCATACTGTTTCTATCACCTGGAATACCCTCCTTCACCTAAAAAAAATCTAACCCATTATAGCCTCAATTCTTCCAAATTCCAAGCCTCAACAATATCAGAAATTACTGAGCTCTAGTTTTCTATGAAATCCCATGGCAATTACTGTCCCTGCTATAAATTCTTTATTTTCTACTCCTTCATATCTATTAAATAGTGTATACATATACTGAACAAATAAAAAGTCCATTATCAAATAATAATCAATTAACAAGTATGGTTAGTCCTATCCACAGAAACTAACTGAAACTTCAAATATTCAGAACCTGAGAAATGGTTTGAAGACTAAGTGGAAAATATCAATCCAGCTGTAACACACCTATGACATTTTCAACCTCCTCAGGAACATCATAGTCTTCATCATTGTCAGAAGCTAAAATTTGGGGGATCTGCCTCTCTTCATCCTGGGTAGAAAGCCGCAGATTGGCAATCAAGGATCGACAACCACGTTGATATCTAAAAAGAAAATAAACATTAATTCAAAGTTAAGAGTTAGTAGTGGGAACTTCAGAAACTTAATAATTTAACATATTCTCAATATTGTAATTACCCTCAATCTATCAAAACACACCCATAATAAGAATTACTCACACACATACATTTGTATATGAAAACACTTTAAAATTCATAAAATGTTATCCCTATGAGGTTAATTAATGTAAGCATTATGATCCACAGAGTCCATAAATTAAAGAACAGAATTCAGTCCATCAATAAACATTAATTAAGTGCTTACAGTATGCCAAGCACTATGCAAAGCACTAGGGATACAAAGAAAGACAAAAGTCAGTTACTGACCTCAAGGAGCTATACTCTGCTGGGAGAGTGAATATGCAAACAACTATGCACAAACAAGATATATACCAGATAACATGGAAATAATTAAGAAATGAAAGAAACTGAACAAGCTAGGAATGAATCATCAAATAAAAAAACCCAGGACAACACAGATTTACAAGTGAATTCACCCAAACATTTAAAAAACAATTAATTCCGATACAACATAAACTTGTAAAAAATAAGAAGAGATTCTACAAAAATCCTTCTATCACACAAATATGGTTTTGATATCTAAACCCGGGGAAATCAAAACAGAGAAAAAAAACCATAGACCAATTTCCCTAATCAATCAGCCAATCAATCAGTTCTATTAAGAACCTACTATCTTCCAGGTATCATGCTAAGTATTAGGTATACAAAAAGAGAAAATATCTGTATAACAGTTCAAAGAGAGATAAAGAATCAATGGACAAGGGTCAGAGTGAAAATGGTAATGTGAAAGAAAGCATTTTAGCCTAGTTTTCCTTAACAGCAGGAGGTAGGTGGCACAGTGGATAAAATGCCAGGCTTAGAGTCAGGAAAACAGAAAAAGAAGAGATAAACAAATTGGGCATAAAATTAAAAAACTAGAAAACCAACTATCTTAAAAGTCCTAAATGAACACTAAATTAAAAATCCTGAAAATCAAGAGAAATTAAAAAACTGAAATTTTTTTAAAAAATTGAAATATTAAAACTCACAGCTTTTTTGTCTATTTTGAAGATAGAAATGTTTATTTTAAAGACTAGAAATGTTCTTTAAAACAATACCTGTTTCACATACAATTTAAAAATATCTTAGCACCAATTCTGTCAATAAAAGATGTCCCAGTAAACTCATAACTTTTTTTTTTGAAATAACATAGATAAGCCATGAGCTCATCTTATTTTTTAAAAAAGAAGAAAACCAAATTATTGGGATCAAAATTAAAAAGGTAAATTGATAATCAATTGTGAGAAATAACTCATTCAGACCCAGGAGGGATGAAGTTAAAAGCCCAGTTTATTACACAGTTACAACCTTAGATGTTCTATGGACCAGGACACATTGTAATCTCTAATCCCGGCCACAAAATCCCTCCTCTGTTTTCTCATTGGCTGAGTACTCCTGACAGTTTGCCTATTACACACCTACCCCTTGATATGTCCATCCCTCCTTCTTCATACATCCCATGTTCAGGAAAATAGCATCTTAGCCCCTCCTAGAGGTGGAGAAGCTAATATTTATGAGCCTATTAAGCATGCACACTCTAAGCAAAGCTTAACCTTTGTCCTACTTATGAACTTCTAACAGGAGAACAAGATAAGACCAGCTTTATCCGATTTTACTTAGTTACTTTTAGCAGTTGTTTCAATTTTATGGAACCTTTTCTTCTACTTACCTAACTTCTATCAGCAAAACAAGATAAGAACAGCTGTATCCTCTTTTACTTAGTTACTTTTCTAGCTGTTTGCTCCAAATTTATGGGAACAAACATTTTCATTATATCTCTCATCAATGAAGAAAAGAGAAAAACAATTATCAGAAGCTATTTTCCCCAACTACATACCAATAAAACTGAAAATCTAAATAAATATATACAAAAATATAAATTAATAGAAAACAGGATACTTAAATAATCCTATCTAAAATTAAGAGGGGTTTGAGAAGGCTTCCAATAAAAGATGAGATTTTAGATGGGACTTAAAGGAAGCCAGGGAGGCCAGGAGGTAAAACAGAAGAGGGAGAGTATTCTAGGCATAGGGAACAGCCAGAGAAGATGCCCAGAGTCAAGAGATGGAATGTCTTGTTTATGGAACAACCAGGAGGCTCTAATTTCATAGGCTATAATATGGGAGACAACATATGAACAAACATAAAAAGCAACCTATATACAGGATAAATAGGAAATAACTAAAAGTGGGAATTAAGAGGGATTGGAGAAGGCTTCCTATAGAAGGCAGGATTTTAGTCAGGAATTATAGTAGGCCAGGAAGAGGGAAAACATTCCTGACATGGAGAAAAATGACTGGTACCTCCTTGGTACAGTCCATTCCAGTTTAACAACTCCATGAAACAAGAAATATTGAAGAAAAAAAAAGGGCACAAGATTGGAACAGAATATAAGGTATCTTATACTGAAAAACAACTAAGGTTTTCCAGGAGCCAAGACGGTGGAGGAAACAGTAAATCGCTGTCACTCTCCCAAATGGACCTCTGAAAAAAGCAGAAAATAGTGCCCCAGGAAAAATCCTGGAACAGTGGAGGCAGCAGAAAGACAAGCAGTCTTTTACCCAGGAAACTTAGAGGATCATCAAAAAAGGTCTGTCTCACTCTGGTAAAAGGGTAGCACATTCCAAGCCCCACCATAGCAAACCAGCAGGAGATCCTCAGCTGGAGGATGGTGGAGCAGGCAAATGTCAACATCAGGACCCACTTCATGCGTTAGCATAGCTACGGGAACCAGCAGACTCCAGCTCTGAGAACAACTACATGCTGACACAGCCCTGGGCAGGCAAGCCTCCTCTAGCTGCGGAACTCTATACTTCAGCTCAGCCTCAAGCTGGCAGGTGTCTCTCAGCTTCCAGATCACTCCATGCTCTAGTGCAGTCCCAGGGGGCAGGCAAACTCCAGTGGCCAGACCTCCAGAGGCTACAGAGGAGTGCCAGAGGGCAGGCATCCTCCACGGGCTAGACCACATGCATCAGCACAGCCTGTGGAAATGCAGAAAAACCACACCTGCCCTCAGCACATGTCAGACATTAGCACAAGGACCACACAGCTCAGCACCAGGAAAGCTCTCAGACACCTACAGTTTACACCTGCCAGCACCTGAGCTCCCAGCACACAGAGCCACTGACCAGGCCCCTAGCACTCAGCACAAGAAGTATGGGACAGTGCCCCATCTGCCCCAGAAGTACAGCTCAACTTTAAAAGCCAGGAAAAAGAGCAAAAACGAACACTGACCATAGACAGTTTCTATTGGGACAGGGAAGATCAAGATACAAATTTTGGAAGAGTTCAAGAAGGATTTTAAAAGTCAAATAAGAGAGGCAGAAGAAAAATTAGGAAAACAAAAGAATATGCAAGACAGAGTCAACAGCTTAGAAAAGGAAAGATAAAAATTGACTGAAGAAAACAATTCCTTAAAAAACACAATTGGCCAAATGGGGAAAAAAAAATCCACTGAAGAAAACAACTCCTTAAAAAGTAGAATTAGCCAAACGGAAAAGGAGGTAACAAAAGCTAACTGGAAAAAAAAAAACAAACAATTCCTTGCAGGGCTGGTTCAATATTAGGAAAACTATCAGCATAACTGAGCATATCAATACCAAAACTAATAGAAACCACATGATCATCTCAATAGATGCAGAAAAAGCTTGTGACAAAATACAACACCCATTCCTATTAAAAACACTAGAAAGCACAGGTATAAATGGAGTCTTCCTTAAAATAATAAAGAGCATCTATCTAAAACCTTCAGCAAGCATAATATGCAACAGGGACAAGTTAGAAGCATTTCCAATAAGATCAGGGGTGAAACAAGGATGTCCATTGTCACCATTGTTATTCAATATCGTACTGGAAACGTTAGCTTTAGCGATAAGAGAAGAAAAAGAAACTGAAGTTATTAGAATAGGCAAAGAAGAAACAAAGCTATCACTCTTTGCAGATGACATGATGATATACTTAGAGAATCAAGTAAAAAACTACCTGAAATAATAAACAAATTTAGCAAAGTTGCAGGCTATAAAATAAACCCACATAAATCATCAGCAATTCTATATACTACCAAGAAAGTCCAACAGCAAGAAACAGAAAGAGAAATTCCATTTAAACTTACTGTAGACAGTATAAAATATTTAGGAGTCTACCTCCCGAAACAAACCCAGGAACTCTATGAACAAAATTACAAAACACTTTTCACACAAATAAAGTCAGATCTAAATAACTGGAAAAAACATCAGTTGCTCATGGGTAGGCTGAGCTAATATAATAAAAATGACAATTCTACCCAAGCTAATTTACTTATTCAGTGCCATACTAATCAAACTACCAAAAAAGTATTTTATAGAGTTAGAAAAATAATAACAAGATTCATCTGAAAGAACAAAAGGTTCAGAATATCTAGGGAACTAATAAAAAGAAATGCAGGGGAAGGTGGCCTAGTAATTCCAGATCTTAAATGGTATTATAAAACAGCAATCATCAAAACTGCTTGGTACTGGCTAAGAAAGAGTGGTGGATCAGTGGAATAGGTTACATACGCCAAGACACAGTAGTCAATGACTATGGTAATCTTTTATTTGATAAACCCAAAGATCCCAGCTTCTGGGATAAGAACCCACTCTTTGAAAAAAACTGCTGGGAAAACTGGAAAGGAGTATGGCAGAAACTAGGCATAAACCAAAATCTTACACCATATACCAAAATAAAAGTCAAAATGGGTTCATGATTCAGATATAAAGGCTGATACTATAAGCAAACTGGAAGAGCAAGGAATAGTTTACCTATCAGATCTATGGAGAACAGAAGAATTCATAACCAAACAGGACACAGAGAACATTACGAAAAGCAAAATGGATAACTGTGATTACATTAAATTGAAAAGTTTTTGCACAAACAAAGCCAATGCAACTAAGATTAGAAGGAAGGTA